CCATGGAACAAGAGCTTCTTCTCTAATTTCCCAGATGGGAGGGAACACATGTTCAAGCCTGTTACAGTTGCAGAAACTGGAAACAGCACTGTGTGGATTTGTACTTTTGGAACTCTTTGGCCTTATTTAAGCACTTGAAATCAAACTTAGGTATCCATTAGGAATAAAATACCAATTCAGAGGGAACACATGTGCCACACCAAGAAGAATAAAGCATATTAAAGTAGTTCATAAAATGAACTCCTGGAAATAACTAGTTTCATATTCAGCCTCACATATGTACATGCGGGATGCCAGATGATAAATGTTGATTATATAAACCAGGATTGTCCCATTTGTTTGGACAGTGATCTCTAAGCATTTCTGTTCTTTACTGGAATCGATAGGAAATGGAAAGTTCAAAAGTAGGAAAGGAAAATAATGATAAATTATCCATAGGCATATGAAATCAAGTTGCTAATTAAAAAGGATTTCCATGACCCCTGGTTTTTTGCAGTGTCATTTTGCAAGGTTTTGTGATTTATGATCACAATCTCCAGCCTTGACCCTACACAAGGAAACACAGCCATGAGGGGAAGGTTTCTGAACATCAGTGCTGTTTCTCCTTTTATTGTTTTTCGTAACGTGACCAATCTAACTATAAAGAGGATTGCTTCTATCTACACTAAGATCATAAAATGAATTGTCTCTGTGCTTGTGATTTCTTCAAGGTTAGCTTCAACTTTACTTTTAGTTTTATATATTCTGTGGGTTTTTTAGAGTTCTAGAGTGATAATGTATAATTGGGTAGTTTCTGTTTATTGAGGACCCTAAATGTTTTTTTTTTTTTAATTTCCATACTCATTTTACAAGGAAAAAAATTTCAAATTTGAATACTTTATTTTTAAAGAGCAAGAAGTGACAGGTGAGCTAAGACTCCCAATCTGGGCTCTTTTTGAAACCACTGGTTCTAGAGAACTTATTGGGGGTGGGAGGCCCAGAGCAAGGAGTCAGCACTTAGTTTCCAGATGTAATTGCCGACAGCAACTTTTGTAACTAGATTCCTGTAAAATCTCTAGGTGTATAATATAAGGTTAAGAGGTAACGTTCATTTGTTCTTTTGGAAAATATTGAGTGGGTCCTTTGTGCCAGGTACTGTGCTAGGATCCCCCTCTTACCCACCATCTTGGTCCATTTTATACTGCTATGATGAAATACCATGGACTGGTAATTTATATAGAATAGGAAGTTACTTGTCTCATGGCTCTGGAGGTCTGAAAGTCCCAGAACATGGTGCTGACACCTAGGGAGGGCCTTCTTGCTGTATCATTCCATGGCAGAAGGTGGAAGAACAACAGAACTTATGCAAGAGAGGGCTGATCTTGCTTTTATAACGACCCACTCCTGTGATAACGACAATTCATTCATGAGGGTAGAGGCTCATTACCTAATCACCTCTTATTAGGCCCCACCTCCCAACGCCATTGAATTGGGGATAAGTTTCCAACACATGAACTTTGGGAACACATTCAAACCATAGCTGCCTCCCCATTTACTCCCTAGTTTGAAAAAACAAAACAAAAACCCAAAGCCATATTTCTCACATCATGTCACTCAGAAACATATTCCAGAGTCAACATGTAAAAATCAAATTTTAACTGTGTTAGATAACAAACTGCAGAAATAATTTCACATACTATATGTATATAACTAGAGAAATAATTATAACTGTCTTCCTGTCTCTGGCAAGCACACACACTCTCTGCCAAACTAAAAATCAAAAAACAACCTCCCCACAATAAAAAGGGTTAATAAAAAATGACAACAAAGACTAAGAACCTCAAAGCAAAAAAAAAAAAAAGATTTCATCAAGAAATTTATAGCAGAAATGTAAATGACCAATGACCAAATGAAAAGCTGTTCAGCTTAATTAATCGAATCTAAATTGGAATACCATTTTCTAGCTCCCAGATTGCCAGCACTAAATTATTAGGTCATTCAGAAAGTCACGACGTGTTTTTCTGTGCAAAAACACGTCATGACTTTTCCGACAACTAATAAAAAGAGTATTGGGTCATCGAAAAAGTCATGACATGTTTTTGCATTAAAAACATAGAAAAAATACAGCATGACTTTTCCAATGACCCTATAATAATAGCCAGTGTCACCTGGTTATTCAGGATGGGAGGAAAAAAAAAAAAAAAACCTCTTTCATACTAATGAAAATTCATGGGTCCAAATGAGAATTGCTGTAAAATATTTAGAAAAAAATAATTTGTTAAATTTTATTGAAATGTAAAATGTTCAAGGCCTTTGGCCACCAATTTCAGTTTCAGTTGTCTGTTAAGAAATGTAAGTTCCACTAGTAAAAGATACACATATACACACACACACCCACACACCCAAGAATATTTATTGCAACACTATCAAGTGGCTGAGAATTGCAAACAACCTGAAGGTCTGTTGCTAGGAAATGGTTTAGTAAAAAAATAAATCCATGCCATGGAATATTATGTGACTGTTTAAAAAGCAATTGGTAGAGTGATGTGTATAATAAGATTCCATTAGGGAAAACAAAACAGAAGGTTAAAAAGCTGTTTATATGCAAGTGTGTGTATGTTTTTATGAGCATAGAGAAAGCTGTTAGAGACTACACACACAGTATTGGTTACCTTGAAATGTGGGGATGAGGTGGGAATGGAAGACCTTTCTCTTTACAAACTTCTGTATTTTTTTTTTTTCGAGAGGTTTTTGCTATAGGGTGTGCGCTCACCAGACAGATAGAGAGAGACAGAGAGACAGAAAGCGAGAAATCACCCCCCCCCCAGGGAGGATGGCCACGCCGCAATCCCTTCTCCTCCATTCTCCTCTCAGGATCTTGGGCACGCACCCACACGCGCCCGGCATGAGTTTAAGCCACCAGGTCCGAGACTCGAACTGCAGTCGACTACGTGGGAGTCCAGCGACATAGCCATTACGCTAACTGCTGATCCCCAAACTTCTGTATTTTTTTAAAGAAATTTTTTGCTATAGGGCACGCACACTTGACAGAGAAGCAGAGAGACAGAAAGCAAGAAATCACCCCCTGGGGGGATGGCCACGCTGCAATCCCTTCTCTTAGGATTTTGGGCATGCACGCACATGTGCCAAGCGTGAATTAGAAGCCGCCAGATTCAGTACTTGAACCACAGTCGACTACGTGGGAGTCCAGTGATGTAACCATTACGCTGTCTGCTGGCCCCTTGTTTGACTCATTGAAACAAGCCTAAATTTTATATGTAAACACTTCCTGACTTATACCCCCAAAATTACGAAGTTAAAAAATAAAGAATGAAATGGAGAGGGAAAAGGCCACATTGAAGACTAGGAGAGTATAGTTTCTTAGAAGCACAGAAAAGGTTTTCAGAGCCAAGTGATTGCTCATGTTCAGTACTGTTTAGCTATGAGTAAGAAATGGGCTGAGCATTGCTTGCTGCGTTGGGCAGGTGCCCTTGGTGGGAGCAGTCTTAAAGAACCAATGTGGTCTGTAGGCTATGGTAGTAGGCTGAGGAAGGAGGCGGAGGGAAGGGAGCTGAGACAGAGAGTGCAGACAGTTCTTTTCAAATAGTGAAGGGAAAGGAGAAATGAGAGAATCCAGGAGGCTAGGTAGAGTCTAGTAAGATCCTTTACTTTATATATATATATATATTTTATAGGATGGGAGAAACTTAGAGTTCTTGTCCCTGTGGATACAGGTCATACTTACGCCTCTTGCAGGCACAGAAGGTGGAGCAATGTTCAGGCCGATCAGGAAGAATG